ATCCAGCCAAACAACAAGAAACCACAGCAGATTAATACACACGGTCGGACGAGAGCGCGAGACAGTGTGATCCTGATCGTTGATCGCAGGATCAACGGTCCGGATCTCATAACATATGAGCCGGGGGTATACTAAAACCCTAACGCATTTTTTAACTCATTCTCTCGAACGACTAAACCAAAAACGATAAAATTTTAATCTTAAACAGTACACATGAAGAGCATTGGTGGGGAGGTAAAATTGTGCTTCGAAAAGCACTATATGCAAAGCTATTTAGATCTACGTGTTTGACCTAATGTAAGGGTTTTTGAGAGATTATACCGTCGGAATCAAGTCAACCACGCAAAACTCTCTTGACATACATCGATCAAAAACCCAAAATCATCAAAATAGCATTTGTTCACAAAACAGACAACGTCGAAGCATCCAGATTAATAGAAACAACTAAAATTGGTGTCCAAATTGATTGGGATCATCGATCGGCCAAAATTTAAATTTCATGCGAGTAAATCAAGGTTATGATCTACGTGGACAACGACGATGACATAATGATCGACTCGATGTACGATTAATATTTTTTTCATGCCATATAATTATAAATATTAATCTAAAGAGGGAGAGAAATAGAGGTTTTAAAATGTAAAGAAAAAAATCCTAAATAAAAAATCCTTAAAATATCCCTCCCATACACTCATAACCCTCATAACTCCCTCCTCACTCCCTCACAATTCACTCTCACGCAAAACCCGATTCCCCCTCTCCATTCGGCATTCTCTCGGTTCCATTCTCAAAGTTATCGGCCTCCCTCCAAGATTAAGGTTTCCCATCGTCGCCGCTGTCTGTCGTCGTTGCCTTGGTCACCGCACACCTAAAGTATAAACCCGATACTAGTATTTCACAATTTGTATGCATGAAATATAAGTATTCGTGACTGCTTTTATTAGCGAGTGAGAAAACATAAGTACATGAGATCACTTTTATTAGTGAGCAGAGAAAGTATGCATGGTATATAAGTAACCGTGACCATTTTTATTAACTAACAGGGAAATTCATATGCATGAAATATAAGTACCCGTTACCATTTTTTATTAGCAAGCGGGAAATTCATATGCATGAAACAAAAGTACTCGTGATCATTTTTATTAGCAAGCGGGAAAATTTATTATATATGAAAAAAAGATTAAGTGTCTGTTACTTCTTTTCTTAATAGGTGGATAAATGATGTGTTTCAACTTTCAAACAGGTACTTGAAGACCCCGTAATCGCTTTTATTAGCGAATGGGGAACGAAATTATGGCCGTGGTGTCACCTGACACTTACCGTGACTATCTTTCTTGGTAGGAGGGAAGGCTTTATAGACCCCGATGTGGCCCCCTATGGAGAGATGATGACAGGGTGTTGCCAAAATTTTCAGCAAAGCTCATAACTTAGAGAATTTTAAAGAAATTAAAATCCACCTAAATTTTTAAGTCAACAAAAAAATAAAATGCACGATATCCTATATTCCTAAAACTGAAAGCAAAGATAAAAGAGAATCTAGAACATAACATAATACATCTTATAATGAACATGTAAGGGAATTAGTTGTTCACCAACAGGTAGGAACCAAACTTTTTTTTTATCTTAGTTCTTGACTTGCACACACCGAAACTCTCTAGCAACACTCCTTGCAGAAATGAAGTGTGAAAAAATAAATTGAGTCTCTCTCCTATTTATAATATAAAAGTCAAATTATTTATAGGTCCCGCTAGCTTAGGATTCATTTGCTAAAAGACATGGAAGATACACCTGCGGCCCCACCAACTTAGGATCCATGTTAAAAATGTGTTAAGATGTCATTTTGAGGCTCTGGATTTGGATTCCTCTAGTATTCATCAGCGGGTGAAATACAAGCGTAAATGCACCTGAATACGGATGATAATTATCTTAAAAAGGGGTGAGGTAAAAGTAAAAATTATTTACCTTTCCTACGAAAATGTATTTACATTAATTAGTAACATGTAGGAATCCCCGCATGTCCCTGGTAATTATTCTGGTTAAACGCTTCCTAATAAAATGAGAAACGTCAATCACATTACAAGTCACAGGTGCACAAGTACTTTAGGTAGCGTGCGCGCTAGCTGTTAAAGTTATAAGGCTCGTACGTACCATGAACATCCGTCTTCAAAAAGAAACAAAACAGTGTATTATTATGTGTCACGGTTGTACGACACCTAATTAAAGTGTGCACATCACGCCAAATCACTGAAAGATAGTATCTCTTATGAGCCCCTATTATATAATGCGCAGATACCAGGAACATGCAAACGCATGATACAAATACATTAAGTGGCATGTATGTATACTGCTAATCGCACGGGCGCACTACATAATATTCATGCATACCTTTGATCATCTAAATGTATCTTGTAAATATACCAACAATCATGCAAAGATAGCATGCATGTATATTGAAGAAGTATAAAATGCATTTAGTACTGTGGTAGCACATAATGCAACATATCAATCATATAAATGCATTGTTTATCTATGTATGTGTATTATGTCAATATACCTTATGAATGTATTATGCATATTCTACAAGCATACAAATTATCATATAGACAAATTATGCCTGCCAAGTAAATATATTATTTCTCATTTATATATACATCATATCTATCATTTAGGTGCAGTATGTTAATTATGCAAATGTACATACAAATATACAAATACGCATATAAGCATGCAAATATATCAGGTATATGTATTGTCCCATTACTCACATACACTATATATATAATCTATATCGCATGCAAATATATTATGTGCATGTACTATACAACATACACACACATATATATATATAGGTCAAATGTGAACTTAGGATCAAGTACGATCCTCCTCTTTGAATGGATCAGAGTTGACACGACTTGAACCATCGGACAAATAAATAGTCATAACACCAACCAGAATATTTTGTTTTATACGTTCATATTAGTCCTTCAAGGTTTATCACAAGAAATATTCACTGCTGAAAACATAAACTCTCGGGATTGTCGCTCATTGAATCAATAAGAATATTTGAATTTTATACATTCATATTAGGTCTTCAAAGTATTTTATAAAGAAATTCATTCATCAAAATGCATGCTCTCAGTTCTGATATGTATACGACAAATCTAAAATTAGGAGATGAACCCGGTCCTCTTTTGACAATCAAATAGAGTCAACAATGTTCAAACAATAAAATAAAATTACCCAATCACCCCGATGATAGTTGTGTTGAACGTAGATCTCAACTGAATGAGTCAATTCTAAATATTCAAAATGCCTCTCAAACTCATAAAAATATGAACATTTAAAGTGATTACAAAATCACCCCGATGATGGCCGCATTGAATGTAAATCTCAACCAGAGGGATTCACGCAAATTTCAAAGAAATTCCCCAAATTGCAAAGTTAATAATTATGGGCTTATGTTTAAATAAAAGTTTTAAAACTTTAATCTTCAAAAATTCAATATATTCAATTAAAATTTAATCACCTAAACTTAAAGCGAAAACTCATTCACACTCCGCAATTGATTGTCAAGATGGACAAGTTTGAAAATCACTTCAACTCATAAAAAGCTAATGTTTAGACGAGAATATCACTAAGATTCATTCTCAAATAGTCTTTTATCAGTAAGGATGTTGCACATGTTCTCTAACTGATAGTTTTGCCGCCAAATGTCACTGCATGTAAATGGTTATGACCGGGGCACTCTAAACTAGGTGGTTTGCCGCCAAATGATACCATTTTATTACAGTCATGGCCAGAGCTCATTTTCTCGCTAATTACACTAAATCCTTGATATATGAATCAATAGGATATGATTGATGGGGCACAAAGCCTTTTGCCAACTAAGGCAGATTGAAATGTTTCCTTAAACAAATATTCACCCCAGCTCTACAAGGTACCCTTAGACAAAGCAATGGCTGCCAACAAAGATCCATCTGTCTGGTTGGGTCGACTACTTCCTCTGACTAAGTAGACCAAGGACCATGATGGCAAGGGACGACGGAACCATGAGATCTTGATCGGGCTCATCATCAATTCCCCCAACATCCACTTTAAGTGCAAGATGGTGAAATTTCAATTTTAAATATCAAACTTCTAAAACACCCAAACCCACGCTGCTACTGTAGGAGCTCGCATCTATAGAAAACCATCAGATCATAAAGTACTCACAAAATGAGGGCGAAATCTATGGGTATTGTCTTATTTCAAACCCAATATGCCTTCTAAAATTTATCCTCGAACCTAATTCGTTAAAACTCCCTTGAAAGAGGAGAGGTCGGGGCATGAATTTTCGGAGCCCACAACTTCCATCTACTTATGATATGATTTGTAAACAATATTTTAATTCCACTTTAAATCTTTTCTTGATTTCAAAAACTTCCTTTGATGTTAGCCCAATTGTAGTGATTGTATGTATGTTTTTGTTTTTAGAAATAGAAGGAACAAAATATTGACAAGGATATTGAAATACTTCTCTAGCTTTAGGCCATTTGAATGAGTTGAATGTTAACCTTAAAGGTTGACTGAGCCCAAGTTGGAACCTTTTAGCTGAATACTATATCAAACTTCATATTAAGTGTTTAACTGAATGCCCATCTACCAAAGAGTTTTAGCTCAAACGACATGCTCTGTGACTCCTAAAGTAGAGGTCGGAGATTTGAATTTTGCTTGTGACCTAAATAAATATTTACTAGCTTTGTAACTGGAACATAATTAATTTGTAATTTACCTTTTGCTCTTTTTATCTATATTTAATTTTGCGCCAACTTTTCTGTAACTGATTTTGTGGGTGCCCTAATTTCAATTAATAAATATTTGAGAAAGTTTTCTACTCCTATCTTGATATATATATATATAACTAAATGATTAATCAAGCTGAGAATGAGCTTGGCTTAGTTCACTCTAGTTATGCTTGTTAACTGCCGCACTGATAACGAAATTCTTCAATATTCTTTCAGGCTTCTGATGTGGTTGTAAGAATACCAGGTCAATGTAGATACCCCGATAGCCCTACTGTTTTTCTTGGATTAGCATCAGCTATTGCTGTTGTGATAGCTCAGGCAACTATAAGTATTATTGCTGGTTGCATATGCTGCAAGAGAAATGCAAATACTTCCGACACAAACTGGACTGTTGCTTTGATATCATTCGTTGCTTCCTGGTAAGTTTTGAGCCAAATGTCTGTTAAGCTATATTTTGCATATAATATGGAGCATATTCGTGGACATAAAAAATGGCATGAAAGCATGTTCGTTAATCCACCCATGATTTGTTTGCCAATGGCTGTATGTGAGCTATACATTTGGAATAAGGCGAGTGATTTTTATAATAGAAATAAAATATTTTTATTAATTTAAATCTTCTAAGCTCATTTGGTTTCTTGGAATTAGAAAATATCATTTGAGAAAAAAATGAATATTCAGATTGTCATTTGGTTGGATATAATTAGAAATTAATATGGATTTTAAACTCTACAAATACTTTCAAAATCCCTTAAAGGTGATGTTTGTATTTTCTCACTCAAATATATATGAAAAATAAATCATCATTTTCTAATATATATAATCTATGAGCAGTTGAGCACCCAAATGAGCCCTAATCTCAAGTTCTTTCTCTGCAAGAGTAATAAATATTTCCTGAGCTTGATGAGCTAACGAGCCTAGATTGAGCTATCATCTCAACTCATTAGCTCGCAGGTTGGTTTGTTTAAAAAATATTATTATATAATATACTTAAATATTATTTAAATTCTAGAGCTTAAGTATAAAACTATTAAAATATTTAAAAATTATATATTTTTTTCTATCAAATTGTTCTTTATTATTTATCTTCTAATTTCTCATTCTTTTTATAATTTTATCATAATAATAGTTTAAACCATAGTCATTTTCTCTCTTTCATTATAAAAGAGCCGGCTTACGAGTAGGCTCAAACTCATAAAATTAAGTTTGAGTTCTAGTTCAAACATGATTAATTAATCTAGCTCAAGTTAGATGTGACTCAAGCTCAACTCGAGTCGTTTACACCACTAAGTGCAACTAGCATCATGATTAATTAAACATGCTGGACCTCTCATGGCAATAACTTTACAACAACTCATTTTTTTGGTCAGTTATCCAAATGATATCATGAGAACTAATTTATAATCTTAGTTTTAGTTACAAGAACTATATCCATCTCTGCATGTATATCAAAGCATTTCATCAGTTGAAAGGTCCAGCATCCCAAATTAGCTTCTTTGAACCAAAAAAAATTTTAAATAAGGATATCCATATGCTCAAAACTACGGGGCATTTCAATCAAATTGCTAGACATCTCTTTCATTTTACAACACAACTACATTTTTGCAGATCAGATATATCATCTTACATAACTCAAATAATTATCTTGCAAATCAGAAATGAGTGCGCAAAACCTTATTCTGATAGCAAATTTTCTCTATTTGCTTTGTATAATTTAGAGCCTTTCATATTTAACAGAACTCTCTGGTTTATTGTCCCTCAGGATTACTTTCATAATAGCATTTCTTCTACTATTGACTGGTGTTGCACTCAATGATCTGAAATCTGTGGATCAGAACAACTTTGATGATTATTGCTACATTGTGAAGCCTGGAGTATTCTCAGGAGGGGCAATATTCTCCCTTGCAAGTGTCTCTTTAGGTATTCTCTATTATTTGGCACTGCAACCATCCAAGACTTCAGAGTCAATGTGTCTACCACAGAACCAAGGCATTACATTTGGAAAACCTCAGATACCTCTACAGAGTACCCAACCAGCCTTTGTCCATGAGGATACATACACACGGCAGCAAATTCCTTGATGATGTTTAGGACTTCGCTTAAAATAAGAAAATAAATTTGAAATTTGTTAAATTCATCATTTCGTTCAATGTGTTAGACATTTTGAACAATATTTAAATTTGCCTGGAATTAGAGGCTGTATTGGACAGTTTTGTATTTATCAACGTGATGAAATATTTTGTTATTTGTGATTTGTTTAGGAAAGGTGAAGTTGTTGACCATCATGCTATACCCAAAGGAACAAAAAGGTAGAAGAAGCAAAAATGAACAGCGTACAAACCTCGTACCCGATGGATCCACGAAGTCGTGCCGAAATCCCACTGCAAACGGCGCCGCTCCAGTCGGTTCTCCGTGATTTCTGCTCAAACTCCGCTCGAGAAGACTTATTCGCGTCGTTAAATACCGAATACCGACCCAAACGAAGTCGATCGCTGCTCTCCCACTCTACACAATCACAAGCCTCTCCCGATACCTCTTCCATTCGTTCCCGTCGCTGCTCTCCCGCTAAGACACCGACGCCTCCACACTCTCCAACCTCTCTTCCATGCTCGACTCCACTCCCCGTGAGATTTCCCCTCTACCTCCACCACCTGAGCCACGTCCGACTCCTCCCAGGCCAAACTCCTGCTGTATCGACACTTCCTCTCCATCCCGTCGAGCTTCCTCCTCTGCATATACCGATCCCAAGCCGAGAGAG